TATTTGAGTGCCCCCTTAATATCAGGCACTGTGACAGGGGAAGGAAAAACAAATAATGTAGGGCCAAAATAGGCAGACTTATTTTCACGTGGCTGATCATCTTCTTAGGAGAAACGACATAATAAAATTATATATTAATTATTAATCATTACTAATAAATATATACTTAGAACTGCAAAAATTGCAATGAAGCAGAGGAAAATGGCACTATGACAACATAAAATAGAATTTAACCAGGTCAAAAGCCAAAGGGTGGTTTTCACAATGGAATCTCACCTACGAGCTAAAGGAGTAGTATGAGATAACTGAGTAAAGGGGGAAAAACTATTGCCGTGGAGTGCAAAAACAGTGAAGAAAAGAGCCTGACTAGAAGAACCAGGGTGAAATAAATGACTAATTATCATACCTCACTTATTAGAGAACAGCTGGTGGAATATATACAGAGGGAGAAATATATTAAAGTCAAAATTGAGTAGAAAACAGATGTGAAATGCAACACAATCATTTAAAAATCAATTTAAAAATCAATCTTAGCAATTATTTCTGCAATATTTTAACATTTACATTTCATTGTTATTGAATCATTTTGGCGATTATGCATAATTATTCAGTAAATACTGTCTAGACAGTGTGAACCATTTGCTTAATATTAAAGGTTAAATAGATCCCTCACTTATCAACTAAATGCTTCATTTCCATACACAGTCATTCACACAAACACACACACACACACACACACACACACACACGTATTTTAATATATGAGATGGAACAATAAATTTAACATTTCCCCATGGTAATATTTGTTAATTAATTATCTATCCAACATTCTTTGCTCTGATGCTATTTCTATTCCAGCTTTGGAATTAAAATAATGTTAAAGTATGGATAAGTAAACAAAGCATGTTTATTGTCAGCTTAAACTTGTCATGGTTGGCATGAGGAAATGCAGTTGTCTATAGGTTTTGAATACAAAAGTAAAATTAATTTAATTTAAAACATTTGATAGACTCATCAGATGTACAGTTCGAAAACTTAAATACAAATTTATAATTGGATTTTTTTTTGGGGGGGGGACGGAGTTTCGCTGTTGTTACCCAGGCTGGAGTGCAAAGGCGCGATCTCGGCTCACCGCAACCTCCGCCTCCCGGGTTCAGGCAATTCTCCTGCCTCAGCCTCCCGAGTAGCTGGGACTACAGGCATGCGCCACCACACCCAGCTAATTTTTTGTATTTGTAGTAGAGACGGCGTTTCACCATGTTGACCAGGATGGTCTCGATCTCTTGACCTCATGATCCACCCGCCTCGGCCTCCCAAAGTGCTGGGATTACAGACGTGAGCCACCACGCCCAGCCTATTTTGTGGTTTTCTATGTACTTAGAATTTCCAATGAGTTTTATACTTTCAGATGATTTCTTATTTCTGATTAATGTACTTATCTTTCTGATTGAAAAAGACTCTTTAGCATTTCCTGTAGGTCAGGTCTGGTGTTTATAAAATACCTCAAGTTTTCCTTGTGTGGAAAGTCTTTTTCTCTTTCAGGTTTTCAATGTTTGCTTGTTTGTTTGTTTTTTTATTGCTTCAGCAGTTTAAATATGTCATGCCAATCTCTCCTGGCCTATAGAATGTCTGGAATGTCTGTTACCACACATAATGGAGCTCCATTGTATATTATTTATTTCTTTTCTCTTACTGCTTTTTAGAAACCTTTTTTTTATCTTTGACTTTTGAGAGTTTGATTATTAAATGCCTTGAGGTAGTCTTGAGGTAGTCTTCCCGTGCTAAATCTGCTTGGTATTCCATAACCTCTTTGTACTTGGGTATCAATACCTTTCTCTAGGTCCGGAAAGTGTCTGTTGAAGTATTAGATAATTCAAAGATTTCAGTTATAAATTAATTCAATGAAAATAAACTAACATAAAATCCACAAGCAAGCCAGTTATTTTATCAAGCATATTAAAAGGACTAGTTTTTCTATTTTTTAATACCCCTCCAAATATGATACTGGTTACAGAGAGCCTGAGAAAACACATCGTATTACTTGAAAGTGAGGAAAAAAAAGTTGAAGATAGTTTTAGAAAATGAGGTAAAAATAAATAAATAAATAAGAAAGAAAGAATAAAATGTAATCAGAACATACTAAGCTAGGCTCCCTTTACCAGCCTGATCAGATCTTCACAAACAAATTGAGAGGATAACATTCATCTTCCAGGTATAAATTCCACTTTTATTTCAGTTATCCAAATGGTCCACGCCAAAGCATATGTTTGGCTTAAAATGGTAATACACTCAACCACTCCCCTTGCTTTGAGAAAACACTAGGGAAGACGGCTTAGTGAATGATAATGAATCATTTTTTGTTTTGCATATGACAATTAGTGATATTCTTAGAAATGTATTTAAATGTATTTTAAATGTAAACAATAACATGCTCTCAGATTAACTTAAATGAAATATTAAATTGCCAGTGTAATGCTGAACTTTTTCTTCTAGCTTTCTAAGATGAACGTGAGTTTAGTCAATTAAACTAAGATATTTTGAAGACTCTAACATGCTTAATTCTAATTATATTTGCGTGTTATCTTCAAATTATAACTTTTTTAAGGGACATGTTCTTTCTCATCCAGGCTGGAGTGCAGTGGTACAATAATAGTTCCTTGTAATTTCAAGCTTCTGGGCTGAAGCCACCATGCCTGGCTAATTTTTAAAAAACATTTTTTCAAAGACAGCGTCTCACTATGTTGCTCAGATTGAACTTGAACTCCTAACATCAAGTGATCCTTCCACCTCAGGCTCCCAAAACACTGGGATTACAGGTGTGGGTTGCTGTACCCAGTCCCCAAATCATAATTATTAAAACAGTGCCAATATATCCAAGAATGTTTTCTTTTTTAACTTTTATTTTATGTTCAATGGTGTATGTGCAGGTTTGTTACATAGGTAAACTGCGTGTCATGAGGGTTTGTTGCACAGATTATTTTGTCATGCAGATAACCACCACATGGGTGCTTTTTTCTGATCCTCTCCTTCCTCTCACCCTATACACTCAAGTAGGTCCCAGTTTCTGTTGTTCCCCTCTTTGTGTCTATGTGTTCTCACTGTTTAGCTCCGAATTATGAGTGAGAACATGTGGTATTTGGTTTTCTGTAGCTGCATTAAAACAATAGTTTGCTTAAAATAATGGTCACCAGCTCTATCCATGTTGCTGCAAAGGACATGATCTCATTCCTTTATACGGCTGCATAGTATTTCATGATGTATGTGTACTACATTTTCTTTATCTAGTCTTCCACTGATAGGCATTAAGTCAATTCCATGTCTTTGCTATCATAAACAGTGCTGCAATGAACATATGCATGCATGTGTCATTAAGGTAGAATGATTTATATTCCTTTGGGTATATAGCCAATAATGGGATTGCTGGGTCAAATGGTAATTCTGTTTTAAGTTCTTTGAAAAATCACCACACTGTTTTCCACAGTGGCTGAACTAATTTACCCTCCCACTAGCAGTGTATAAGTGTTTGCTTTTCACTGCAACCTGAGCAGCATCTTGCTTGCACCTCACCTGGGTTCTAACTGAGGATGGATTATGGGAGGGGGGAGAGAATTAGAGAAAATATTTATCTGGTCCTATGCTTATTACCTGGAGGACAAAATAATCTGTACACTAAACCTCCATGGTGTACAGTTTACATATGAACCAAACCCCCACATGCACCCCTGAACCTAAACCAAGTTAAAAAAGAAAACATTCTAGGGCACATTGACATTGTTATAAAAAATATAATTATAATTTAGGGGTTGGGTGTGGTAGCCCACACCTGTAATCCTCGTACTTTTGCAGGCCGAGATGTGAGGTTCTCTTGAGATCAGTTATCTTTTGAATTCTCAGTAGTAGCCATTCTGGTTGGTGTGAGATGGTATCTCATTGTGGTTTTGATTTGCATTTCTCTAATCATTAGTGATGTTAAGCATTTTTTTCATATGCTTTTTGGCCCAGTATGTCATCTTTTGAAAAGTGTTCATGTCCTTTGCCCACTTTTTAAGGGGGTTATTTGGTTTTTGCTTGTACATTTGTTTATAGAAATTTTTAAAGGTCATTTTTATTTCTTGTATTTTATATTCTAGCTTGCTATTTTTTGTCTTTGGGGAACTTATATGCATACAATAGGAACTCCATGGCATTCTGTTTTGAGCCTAAGCTTTAGGGAATACTGAATAATGCTTAGGAAGGGCTGAAAACTGGGATGAAGAAAGAAAAGACTGGAGGAAGGACTTTTTTTAAAGGTTGCCAAGGAACATCCCAATGGAGATGTCCAGTTGCAAGTTGAACATGCCTGGTTTGAAATTCTGTAGTGAGTTTATGACTATAGGTAGAAACTTTGGAGTTGTAGGCATAGAACTACAGATGTGAACGTGCCTGATGTTATCCAGAAAGAGCCCATGGAGACAAAAAAAAGCAGGTGGTAAGAATAGGTTCCTGAATATCATAAACATTTTAGGATTATTCACACTGAAAAAGAACCTGTAAAGGGAGTGAAAGGAAATAGCCAGAATGATAGAGGGGAAACAAGGAGGAAAGTGTATCATAGAAACTGAGGAAGGACAGTCTCACAAAGACAGTGGGCCACAGTCCAAAATATCAAAGAGAGCTGAAGTAAGATAAGAAAAGCAAAGTGCCCAGTACCTTTGGAAATACTGATCCCATTGATAAATTTGGGAAGACAGTGTTTTCCATTTTAAGGGAATGGAAGGGGTTGTTGAGAAGCCAGATGGTTGTAATTGGGGGACAATGGGCAGTAAATAAGCAGAAGCAGTAAATAAATGATTACTCTTATAAGGACGCTTAACTATAAAGCAAATGGCATTATGGGGGCGGCCAGACTGGGCAGCCAAGGGGCATTTCCTTCTGGCGAGGTGACTTAAAATTCTAAGTGTGGGAGTTGGTTTAGGCAGTTCCACTCCTAGGATGGAGGGAGCCTTCAGGAAGGAAGAAAAATCATTTTTCTTCTCGGGGAAGGTGAACATTTATAGCATTGATTTCCCGGATCTGGTAACATGGCAAAAGCTGCCAGTCTAACTGAAGCCAACGGAGAACTCAAGGTCTTCATGGACCAGAACCTTAGTCTGGGAAAAGGTGTGATGTCCCTCGAGGCCGTCCACCCCTCCACAGTCAACCTGCTCGGGAAACAGCTCTTGCCAAAAACCTTTGAACAGTCCAATGTCAACATTACTCAGCATATGGTAGTTGGTACTCTTCAGAGACCGACAGAGTCAAACACCCTCGTGGTAGGAAGCCCACACACCCCCAGTACTCACTTTGCCTCTCAGAACCAGCCTTCAGATTCCTCATCTTGGTCTGCCCGGAAGCACAGCAGTAAAGGAGGGAAGAAAGGCAAGGTCCGGCAGCATTTCCTCATTAAGGTCTATGAGAAGGTGCAGAGGAAAGGGACCATTTCCTGCAACGAAGTGGTGGACAAGCTGCCGACAACCACATCTTACCAAACCAGTCAGCTTATGACCAGGAGAACATAAGACGGCGTGTCTACAATACCTTAAATGTGCTGATGGCCATGAACATCATCTCCAAGAAGAAGGAGATCAGATTGATTGGTCTGCCCACCACCTCGGCTCAGGAATGTCAGAACTTAGAGGCGGAAAGACAGAGGAGACTTGAAAGTATAAAACCGAAACAGTCTTGACTTCAAGAACGTATTCTATAGCAAATTGTCTTCAAGAAACTGGTGCGGAGAAGTCGACACACTGAGGAGTAGGCCAGCTGGCCGCTGCCACCCAACTCAAACACCCACCTGCTCTTCATAATCATCAACACCAGGAAGTAGACCGTCATCGACTGTAGCATCTACGACAAATTTGAGTATCTGTTTAATTTTGACAACACATTCGAAATCCATGATGACATAGACGTGCTGAAGTGGATGGGCATGGTGTGTGGGCTGGAGTCGGGGAGCTGCTCTGCTGAAGACCTTAAAATGACCAGAAGTCTGGTCCCAAAGGCTCTGGAGCCCTACGTGACAGAAATGACTCAGGGAACTGTTGAAAATGTGTTCATCACTACGGCAGGTTCCACGTCTAACGGCACGAGGTTCTCTGCCAGTGGCCTGACGAATGGTGCAGACGGGATGCTGGCCACAAGCTCCAACGGGTCTCAGTACAGTGGCTCCAGGGTGGAGACCCCAGTGTCCTGCGTCGGGGAAGACGACGAAGACGATGACGACTTCAATGAGAATGACGAGGATGACTGACATCCTCCCCGCTTCAGATTCAGCTTCAGGAAAACGTTTAGGGAAAAGAAACTTTTTTTTTTTAAATGTGGGTTTTCTGTTTCCTTTTGGCCTACTCCCAAGAAGATATTGGTAAGCTATTGAATTTAGATGTGCACCTCTGATAAGCAAGGATTGTTTCCCGTAGGATTAGGACGTGCTGTGGATGTGTGTTTTGATACCAGTGTGCTGATGCAGAGCGTTTATTTTACTATTTAGGATTTTGTGTTTTCATTTTTCTGGTTTTCTCTAAGTGCAGAGTTCATTTTTGCCCCTGAACAGTTTTTGCTGAGTCTTTGCTAAAGAACTTGTATTTCATCCACATCCATGAAAATAAAACACCCTCCTGGGGTGGATGGTGAGAACCTGAAGCCATTTATTTGCCGTGAGTTTGGACGAAACCCCCGCTGGTGGATAGCCAGGACTCTATGGAGTGTTCCATTCGTTCAGTGGTATGGTGTCCAGAACCCCAAGCAAACAACAGAATTCTACTTTCTCAATAAGAAACACCATCAACCTTATTGATTTTATTTTCCCTTAAATAATATTGACTGTTGTGATTCTATCAAGTTTATATACTCTTTTCTTTCCCTATTTTGCAGCAATAAATTGCAAAGTGATTTTATTTGTTTGTTTTTGTTTGGTTTGATTAAATCTTATTGCCACACTGGTGTGGCTATGGAGACTGTCTGGAATGCTTGGAATGGTTTATTGCTTATGGTAGAATTTGCCTGATTTCTTACAGGCAGTATTTGGAAACCTTTTATTATTTAGTTGTTTACATACTTATAAGTCTATCATTTAAAAACATGTATTGAAACAGATGTATTTGCTCCATAAGCATCTTTCTGTAATCTATTATAAAGTTGAAATTAAATATAGAGAATGTTTTAACAGTTTTTAACTCAAAATTTGTCAATCATTTTTAATAGTTCTTTTTTTATAAAAAGAAAAAGGAATTTAAGGACAGGCAGTAGTCTCTTTTAAAGTTTATTCACAAAATCCATTAACTGCACAGTTGCTATTAGCTGCCTGTTCTGAAACAATAGTCTTTTTATTGAAACACAAATAAACTTTTCTGTAATATTTTATGGAATATAAAGAGACTTTAATTGTTTGACTTGTTTAACTTGGCACTGTTAGTTTTTATTAATAAAACGCGCATGGGCATTTAAAAAATGGCATGATGACTAGAGAGATTTATGTTATTGACAAAAGATACAGAGATGATATCTGAAGGAGTAAGTTTCTTAGGAGACAGAATAGACAGAAGGGGAGAAATTTGCCATGTGGAGAAGAAGGGAATCCTCTTCCACTGAGATATGAGTAAGGAAGTAAAGAATATGGGGACATGAAGATACATAGTAGGAAAAAAAAAGTTGTAGCAATTCTTGCCTTACGGCTTCTGTTTTCTCAGTGAAGTGAGAGGTTAAGCCTACTAACACTGATGAAGAAAGTGGAATGTTAGGAGATTTGAGGTGAAAAATGTATGTCTGGAGTCGACATTGAAGAGCAACGTAAAGGAATCTGAGAGCTTCTGTCTTATGGGTGACTAAGAATTACTGGTCAATAATTAACGCCCATCACAACTTGGAAACTATAAATTTATTGTAGCTTCTTATAATGATTGTGCAACACTCTTTCAGTATCGAGAACAAATGGTTCCTCCACAGTGAAAATTTCTCTAATTGAAAAAAGCACAGTTTAGCAGTCCTTATTTATGGCATCACTATACCTAATAATTGCACTTATCTATATCTCTATAAATGCACTTAGAATAATATTTAATGACTATGAATTATTTTTGCTACATGCTGCCCTCCAATCATATACTGAGCTTCTTAAAGACATAGCTGTATTTTGGGATATCTCAACAAATGTTTGTTGAGTGAATAAATAAGTAATCAATAATGCTCCTGGGATAGTGCATGTCCAAATACGTATTTGCAATATTATTATTAATATATCTTTCTCAAAATACTCTCTCAGAAACTGCTCCAGCCCATGCATCCTGACTATATAGCTTAGCTTTGTCAAATTGTGCTCAGTGCAATCAGAAGAGTGAAATTTTAGTAGACAGCAGAGTAGGTTAAGTAGTCTCAGATGTTCAAATTTCTGCTTTGGAAACTCAGGAAATAATCATGTATTATAAACATGAGATTATAGTACAAAGATAATTCTCTACATGATTTTTAAATAAAAATCTCTTTTTTCACATTTTATTTTAAGAAAATTAATTTACTATTATAAATCCTACAGGTCAATCTATTAAAACCCATAACCAAAACCAATAAATGATTAAGTTTAAAAAAGGGTTATCCTTGAAATATTTTTTTTTTTAGAAAACATCACATTGTAATAGTTTGTCAAACTGATGAGCAGAGGTAATTCCTTCAGCCTCAAGGAAATAGAACATGGGTGATACTCAAGAATGCAGCTCGATCCATGTGATCTCACTCACTAGGCTGAGTGTTAGCTGCCTTTGGAAAAACATGGCAGGTTCGAATTATGTGGAATATAATAAAGTTTTATCATTAATTTTAATGCAAATGAGGTCATTTATATACTTTAATAGCAGTTTGAATCGACTCATTTCATATTGTGCAGATTGTAGTCACTTTTCTCTCACAATTATTTTGCAAACTTCTTTAGCATATGTGACTGATAGTGAATGAAGTGACTTTTCAAGGGTGGATTAGTAGGATCTTTCTGTAAAAATCCAGGAGATGATGGAGAAATTATTTTTTAAAAGACACATTGACATTTTCCATGTTGACAGCGATACCTATTAGTTTATGCTAAGAGATTGTTTAGCAGTCTAGTGAATAAAAAGCTTGTTTTTTGATAAAAGTGGTTTCAAATTGATTATTTGCTGTACTTACCAGTCCCTTTCAGCTGATGATATACTGCTAAGTTAATATTTCACATAAATTGTACACTGAAATTTATAAGAATAAGTCATTCATCTTGTATCAGATCTCATGGGTCTCTTATTATTTTTAGGACACCTCCTATCTTATCTACCCACTCCTCATTATATGCATACTTTCCTGGAAGTTCCACTTAGAATATGAATAATCTTCCATTTTCAAACATATAACAGAGAATATTGTTAGGGTTATATTCTATGACAGGAAAGGAAAAACTTACATACTTTGACATTTCGCTTCCTGTAATGTTCTGCCCCATTAAAGAGCATCGAAATGCTATTTATGTTCTTGAGTTTCGGATATACTTTTGCTGATGAGGTTATCTTTTACTAAACATTCTAGTTTGTTCCTCAATGGAAAAACGCAAACAACATGTTTGAAGATGGCATCATGATACCTATTGGGAAGGTTAAAGAAAGCTTCTGTCAAAAACAAAAGAGGGTGGCTTACGGAAAGGTTTTTTGCCTAAAATTATTGCATATATTTGACTGTGAGCAAGCTTGAAAATTCATACATTATTAGCAGAACATAGAGGCTTTCCTTATTTTACCATCCATCATTCATTCACTCACATAACAGGTATTTGTGAGCACCTACTGTGTGTCTGGCATTGCTATTGGCACTGTGGAAATAGCGGTAAACAAATAAGCAACAACAATCAGTCTTCAAATTGTGGACCCATGAAGAGAGGAAACTTTGGAGGCAGAAGCTCTGGCCCCTATGGTGGTGGTGGCCAATACTTTGCCAAACCATGAAACCAAGGTGGTTATGGCGGTTCCAGTAGCAGCAGGTAGCCATGACAGTGGCAGAAGATTTTAATTAGGAGACAAAGCTTAGCAGGAGAGGAGAGCCAGAGAAGTGACAGGGAAGCTACAGGTTAGAACGGATTTGTGAACTCAGGCAAGCACAGTGGTGGCAGGGCCCAGCTGCTACAAAGAAGACATGATTTAGAGAAATACTACTGTGTATGGGCAAAAAACTCGAGGACTGTATTTGCGGCTAATTGTATAACAGGTTATTTTAGTTTCTGTTCTGTGGAAAGTGTAAAGCATTCCAACAAAGGGTTTTAATGTAGATTTTTTTTCTTTTTCTTTTCCTTTCTTTTTTTTTTTTTTGCATCCATGCTGTTGATTGCCAAATGTAATAGTCTGATCATGACACAGAATAAATGTCTTAAAAAAAAAAAAACAAATAAGCAAAAACCTTTGTCCTCATGGAGCTTACCTAGTTGGGGGAGATGGAATGCAAGCAAAATTAATAAGTAAATTATGAAGCATATTAGAAGGGGATAAGTGTTAAGAAACAAAAAGAAGCAGGGAAGAGGAGGTGAAGAAACATCATATTTTGTAGTATAATCAGGGAAAAATTCACTGAGATGGTGCCAGTTGAACAAAGATCAGGAAACAATGAAGTGAAAATATGCGTATCTTGGGGAAGAGAATTTCAACCAGAGGGAAAGGAAATGTAACAGCTCTAAGCTTGCCTCTTGCCAAGAGTAAAGAGGACCACATTGATGAAGTGGAGTGAGCAAAAATGTTGGAGAAGTTGAAGTCAAAGGAGTAAGGCATTCAGGTGTATGATAGCTTGCTTTGGCCCTTACCTTTACTGAGATGGAAGCCATTGGAGGATTCTGAGCAGAGAAACAACATGATCTGACATAGCACAAAGGATAGAAGTAAGATTGAGCCAATCTTACTAGCTAAAGAAGATTTCTCTTTGTTTGCCAGCCTCAGTGGGATCTCTACTTCTTTTCAGTAAAATTGGAATCTCTGTTAACACCTCTGTTGGGATTACCACTATTTTTTTTCTCCCACCGCTTCTTTGTAATTGTATATTATGTTGTAGACTAGCAGGTAGACAAATTAACTAAAAATGCCTAAGGATACACTGTTAAAATTGTTAATTCAAACTTTACAATGATGAGCAAAAGTCTCACATTATAATGATGTTTATTGCTGTGTGGTCACGCTTTTACAGAATGCAGCTGTGTAGAGAATAGAATTCAGTTTTTCTTCAAACTGTTGACTCTCCAGAAACTGAACATAAACAGTCAATTAACACAGTCAAAAAAACAGCAGATTTTGTAGATTAATTACATGTATTATATACTCTGTTCTTATAATAAAGTAAGCTAGAGAAAAATGTTGGTAAAGAATCATAAGGAAGAGAAAATGTATCTACTATTCAGTAAATGGAAGTGGATCATCAAAAAGATCTGCAACGTAAAGGTCTGTATGCTCACGTTGAGTAGGTTGTCTGGGAGGAAGAAGAGGAAGGGTTGGTCTTGCTGTCTCAGGAGGGGCAGAGGTGGAAACGTGGAAGACGTAGAAGGGAAGGCAGAAGATGCTGGCACACTCGGTGTACATTTACGGAAACATATCATAATTTCTTTCTTTTTCACTTTTCCATTTCTCTAGCAGTGCTTCTATACAGTACCAATTCTTCCATTCTTTGCTTTACTTTCAGTGGCCATATCATAGAAGGGGCAATGTCATAAAAAAAAAGGGAAAAGCAATCTTAAATCATAGGAACCTTTCTGCCAGGTTGCCTAATGTCAATTTCTTTTTTTAAATTCTACTTTAAGT